AAGTGCGGAAGCGGCAAGCACCGATGAATTGTACTCCATCGACATCGAGCGCATTGTGTTGTAGAACATGCGGTCGCGAGTGCCTTAGTCAGGCAGGCCTAGTGAGCCATGAGAGAGGTCACTCGGGACCACTGCCGAAGCGCCGACAGGGTCCCGCAGTGAACGTAGGCAGCACCGGCGCAGCGTTTGTAGGCACGCTGAATTCGATTTACTAACCGCATGCTTGCATGCTAAGTCTCTTTATTTCAGGTGGTGGGTTTTCGGTTCTCTCCTAATGCCTTTCTTTCTCATATAAATGTCTAGTGGGCCATGAGCTAGGTCCTTTGGGGCCACTACAGAAGCGACGATGGGTCCTGCAGAGAATTACGACGAGCCGGCGCAGCGTTTGTAGGCACGCTGATTTCGATTTACTAACCGCGTGCTTGCATGCTAAGTCTCTTTATTTCAGGTGGTGGGTTTACAGTTTTTACCTTAATGCTTTTCTTTCTTATATAAATATCTCCATGTACTCTATTCCATTAACTTGCACATATCGCTTTAGCCAGTTGTATTCGATTTCCATAAGATTTTTATGTTCGTGGCATACCGTGAACTATACTTCCTGACTTCGTGCACTTAGCTGGGATGTGTTTGTAAACAACTTATTACGTATGCTATTTAATTAAGGTTTATGTCACCGTTTCCTTATGCATTAATCCAGTTTTTCTCTTTTTCTTTCTCTCTCTCTCAAGTGATTGGCTGTTGTTTGATATCCCCGGTGTGGCTGCGCTTGATGTGCATGTTGACAAGGTGCCTACCTGTCTATTACCCACTACCTCGTCCATACTGGCTCCAGGAGACAGTTGGTCGTTGCTGGAGGGGACGGGGTGCACGGTTCTTGTGGCCGTGTTAGGCTCGAAGAGTGGTTCCATGCACTCAGTATGGAGCGGACTACGGTCCAGCCACCGCCTTGTGTGCGGTTGATTCCCCAAATACAGCGTGCTTGTGTTTGCCTGTGAAGGAGTGTGGGCCGGCTCCGTTGATGAAACGTGGTTCCCATCCACATGCCTCCCGGTCTTATTCCTTCGGGTTTACACTGGATATGGGGTGTGTGGTTGGAGCTGTGGGTGGTGCAGCGCAAGCCATCCATGGTCCCTCTGTAGGCGCAGGCGTCCTGTGGCTTGCCACAGTGACAGGCAAATCCGAAACCGGATGCCGCCAACCATATATATATATACTCGAAAGAGCCAAGTAGATGTGGCTAAACACAAAAGTTTGAGCATACGCCATCAGCGTACCGATGAATATCAACTTAAGCAACAGCAATTGCAACGTGCTATGCAGGACGGTAATCTCATAGTAATTGTACAGGTTAACTTCGACTACCAGAAACAAGCTGAAAAAGCGTAGAGGCAGTTAGCATCTCGGCGTCCTACGGAGGACGTTCAAGAATTTCGAGCCTTCAATCTTTCCGTAAAGCATGAAAGCCTATTCGAGGCCTCATGCGGAATGTCATCAGAGTTCCGCGTCCTTTGGGAAAACACGATGTAGATGTGCCTGAAGCGCCAAAAGGTGGCGCGACCAAATTCGTTAAAAACGTGTTTGCCCTCCTCTACCAACTTAAACTGCAAGCCATGGGTATCTACAGTGGTGAATAACGGTAGTTGTGAGGAAATTGAAATATGGGGTATTTAATACTAGTGGACCACAATCCCACATAGCGCAATCTGTTGCAACACAAGAAACATATGAAGCTAAGATGACCACCAGCTCAAACTTGTCACGCACCATAAGTCTTGCTACCTTCAAGGATCCCGAACAGGAAACACCTTCAAGTTGCGTCAATTTTGCGCCTACACTAAAGTATTGCAAAAGACGTCTAGATGACAGACTATCACATTTTCACTACTTGGCACTGGCAGTGTCAATCAGAGGAAGAAATAAATGAACCAAACAGCGGGCTCATCAGGCTTCGGCATATCGCAACAGAGAGGAAAGCTTCAGCTTTGTTCATCTGAACAGTGAGTTCACTTAAAACCCTGATTTCCCTCCTTTTTCCCGTCATTGTTACCATTGGTTTTGAAATTCCTGCTCCTGTCGTCCTACGACACTTAGCTGGCACTTGCTTTCTTATCCGCTACAAATCATTGTTGATCTCGACGCTTACTCTCCTTCTAGTGTGCAAAACTCAGCAATGTTTGATACGACACGTAAGTCATTTGTCAAACACAATTACAGAGGTAGGTAAAGCAGTCGGACTTAAGATATGACTTACGATGAGCTGCACGGACTCCGAGGTACATGCACGCAGCAACATTTCGCGCAAATCACAGAGTAGAAGCAAATGGTGGAGGCAAAAGTTGGGTATGCGAATGGACAGTCAAAATTCAACAGTATGAAAAGCTGAAGGATTGGTTTCTTTCAGGTTTATTATATTTTCCATTTGTCATTATAAGCCATACAAAAATAATGTAACTTTGATTTACCTAGGAAGCAAAGTGCTGCCTCGGTATTCAAAAGCTACCTACTCCAACTGTATTTGAACATTTGTGTTTATTTCTTAAGTGTTGGAATAAATAAACTAACACGAGACCCAGCAGAATGGGTGTAATTTGATTCGGAGATGCCAAACGCATATTCCCTTCCAATCGAGTTTCTATTTGAAAGTCTTTGTAAGCGAACATATGTTTTCGACAATTCATCATCAGGTTTATACAATTACATGAAAATCAAAATTTGTAGGCAGAACCAACAGGTCATCAATCAACCAGTGGCTTCCAGTACACGATGACAAACACCGTCGGTCAAGTCCCACTGTAGTCTCCACTCGTTTGCACTAGTTGACTGCAATCCGTCCAGGCCAATGTAGACTTAAAGACAGAGTGAACCTATTTTGAGTGCAAGGCCGTGGTTGGTACAGCCCAGTTCCAATGGCGTCTAAGATCTGCTTACAAACACATTTTTACCGATTTCCTGGGGCTTGCTAGATTCTTTTGAACGAATCGGTCGATTTGGTGTCTCGACCCGTGTCCGGAAGATGCACGGCCTGTCTACATCTATTTCTATCTGTGACGCAAATATGAGAGGAAAACCACACGTACTTAGTAGCTGAATCCAATTACCCAAAAATCAAGCTGCACCTAGATAGTTTTTAAGACATATTGTTTTACCGGATGTGTACACCCATATCTCACTTATTTGCTTGCCTTGCACTCAGGGTTAAGTCGATGGGGCTTAGTTTGTAGACATGTTTTCTTCGCTTGTTGTGGCCAATCTGCTTGTGATCCAGTTTGCATTATGTATTTACGGGCTGTCACGTTTGATCTAGTTGCAAAAATAATAGGCCTCAAGATCCTACTCAATCGTACAATCCGGAACGTGTTTTCTCCAACGCACTTTTTATCATCTATCTTAGAGGTTCAAAGATAATGCTTAGCATAAGTTGTAACTTATGAAGCTATTCTCTAGGGGCAAGAAATTACCGGAGTGGCTTCAGTTAAATCCCAAACAAACCCGCCATCTCATTGTTGATTGTAGTTTGCACAGAATTTCCTTCGGGTACACTGAGGCCAGCAGGAAGACTTCCACCGCACTACTGCTTAGTCTATTCACCCCTTCCGAGTGACCTGCACTCCACAGATATCCGCTGTCAATTCCACAAAGAGAATCAGTTTGAGGTCCACGACTCTGTGCATGCATGCAGCCAGTGGTGTCTCGACTGGTGTTGATGAGTAACTAGCTCCACATGCAACTACCTAGTCAACTGATACACCTAGAGCAACATCCGTCCTGACAGGTGTGCTTCGGCCTTGCAAGAACGAGAGAAGCGTAGATTGGGCAGTTGTTTGCTGTGACTACTGACATCTTGCGGGCGTCAAGTCACGTTTCGCACGATTCGACCGGACTTGTGGTGCCGTTGGTTGCTCTTTGACACCGTGGACTACTGAATAAACATAAAGCTTTTGCTTTACTTTATCATTAAGTTGTTTCTGCATATCAGTTGGAGCAATGAGCGCATTCTGTTATGCTACCTGCAGCGCAACAATCAGTACGTTGGCAGAAATTTCATATTAGATTAGGACTATCGGCTGGCTTGCCGAACAATCGCCACGTGGTGCTAACTGGGTGCTTCGAGTTTATCCCATTCCGGCAAATAGTTTGGCGGCAGTGTTCGAGGCCAGCGTTCCCAGTATAAAAAGCCACACGTGTCAGTTTAACAACCCTACGACGTGACGGATGTGACTCACCAACAACTAAAATTACTGCTGCTGCTTCATTTTGGTGAAGCAATGTATTCCAGCAGTGTGAATCTGAGATTGTGGGCAAAAGAGCGAACGAACGAACTGTGCAATCAGTCACTGGATCCCAATGAACGCGATGTGCTGAATTCATGCAGCAATCTTGCAGGTAGTCTATTTAGCCAAAGCCTCGTGGTGGTATCCCAAGTCGACACCCTATCTTGGCTTTGGTAACCAGGTAGTATCATGCCCTCTGACAAAACCGTAGACTTCTCTGTGTTGTGTTTGCTTACTACGACAACTGTACCTTCTGTAGATTTCCATAATCTTTGATGGCTCTTTGTCTAGTCGGTGACTGATGCATATATATATATATATATATATATATATATATATATATATATATATATATATATATATATATATATATATATATATATATATATATATATATATATATATATATAGGCTCGAAGAGTGGTTCCATGCACTCAGTGTGGAGCGGACTACGGTCCAGCCACCGCCTTGTGTGCGGTTGATTCCCCAAATACAGCGTGCTTGTGTTTGCCTGTGAAGGAGTGTGGGCCGGCTCCGTTGATGAAACGTGGCTCCCATCCACATGCCTCCCGGTCTTATTCCTTCGGGTTTACAGTGGATATGGGGTATGTGGTTGGAGTTGTGAGCGGTGCAGCGCAAGTCACTCATGGTCCCTCTGTAGGCGCAGGCGTCCTGTAGCTGGCCACAGTGACAGGCAAATCAGAAACCGGATGCCGCCAACCATATAGCAATTTGTACGTCGTTGGATAGACGGAGCTATGTGCGCAGTAGAGGATGCCAAACCAGCGTGATATCAATTAGAACCAACTTGTCCTACAGGAAAGAAAACGATGTTTAACTCTTTGGTGTACCTTCGGAGCATATGAGGGCCCGTCAGTTCGATAAGTGGTAAAAATGACTTTTTGTAGATATGGCTTGAGTATGTGAGATCGAGGGTACAAGATGGTTAGTCTCCGGCGTCCTGATTCGCTCAACACGAAGGCCCCGTGCAGCAGACCCCACTGTAGAGGAACAGCGTATCTATCCTGTAGTATTTTAATGTTCCTTCGATCGATATCCAGTTACAGATGCTTCTTCAATGTGTATCGATCGCTGAGCCTTGGTTTGTTCGGGTTATTTTCCAACAGCCAATCAGCGAGCCACAACTGAAATGCATCGGAGAGCGCATGAACAGGTAGAGATTCATAGATGGGCAACACTAAGAACAGGGCCTAATTGAAAAACTGTCGTACTATGAAACTCAAGCTCATGTTAATTAAACGCAGTTGGATAGGTACTAAACACCCTAACGCAGATTGGCTATGATCAGCTCACCATATGGCATATCGCCAAGGTATACCTAATTTTCCAACGTACGGACCTTTCTGGCCGTGTACCTTGGTTAGTAACGGTCATAAGTAAACTACAGCCGATGTGTTTAGTGAATCCCTTCTTCATCAAGCACAAAGGAAAAGCATCGGATTTTACTATAGGCACCAAATATGTTTTCCAGCAGTGACATGAACTCAACACCCACTGTAGACCAAATCGCTGAAGGCTGTGTGGTAGCTCGTATTAGTGATCCCTATCATCCGGCTTCTGCATTACCTGCCTTATAGATGTTCCATAGTGAAAACCCGGCAACAGAATTATAACTGTGATGCACACTTCCACATTTATGTTTGATCTGAAACAATTTATCCAAGTTATTAGTGTCGTACTAAGTTTGGTCCAGTTGCGCCGGAATTGCATCGTTAGATCCGGACAGTTTTCGCGCTGCGTATCTCAGCCGTGTGACGAGCTAGTTAATTAAGGGTGACATCGCGAGTGCCTTCGTGAGATTATTACAAAACTCAAATCAAACAAACCTACCACACCAAACTCCGTATATTCTAAAGTAATTTGAAGCATTGTTCGGGATTTCTTGCTACCTGCTACCATATGACCTGTAATCTCAACATTAAGACCACTCATCCATAGAGGGCAGTGGTCTAGGGCCAAGTCTAACGCTCACATCTAATCCCTACGCACGGATCAAAGTTTTAGCAAAGTACTAATAAGGCAAACCTGATGAAAATCAGCTGTTGAACGACACTTACGACAGGATCTTTTGGTTTCTGTTTGCACACTTCTGTCAGTCCTCGCAGCAGAGTCGGATTGACATGGCGTGCCAGATAATCTCTAACAGCCGTTTTGGAAGGAATTGGCTCCGTCACAGCTAAAGTGTAAGAAGTTAATGGTTGAGAATGACAGTTTGGGTTGGACGGATCCGAGTTACATTATTCTAAGCCGCTGTAGCTCTATTCAACTACTGAAAAGACAGTTGATGTCCACTTTCCTTTTCCGGCTTGTGTTACAGTTATTGGGGAGAATACCTAAAATGGACTGCTCAACAGTACGGTAAAAATGAAACGAAGTAACTGACCGGGAACTGCAACCGAAACAGCCGCGTAAGCTTGACCCTGATGTAGGACTCAGGATAGACCATGTTAGTTGTTGTATGGCCAATGTAGCCCTTGGCAACCTTCCCTGTAATTGATTCTCAACTTGTCCATCCACATGTTTTCAGCTCTGGCAGTAACTTTCTTGCGTTCCTACTTCGCGTTTCAACAATATTCTTAATTTGAAGCTTTATTGCGACGTGAGTGATCACTGTGTTTTTGTATGATAATGTTAAACGTACTACCTCCATCAGCGCTGAGAATTTACCGGATTCCATCACGTGTTAATTAATCAGCAGATGCAATTGCTTATGGTAGCGACATCACTCAATGACAAAAGGATCGGGCAACAATAGAATATCAATACGCTAACTGTTTAGACTCTAGATCGTTTTGTATGCCAGAGGAAAAGCAATTAGCTTCGCTTAACAAAATAACATCAGATGGCGTAACCTCAGTGAAACCAAACATGAAGTAGCGAAATCAAAACACACACTTTCAAATATCGTATGTTATTGTATAATGTATGTTATTGGTCTTTGTACTCTGCGACTGCCCATCTGCTACGCCGATTTTACATCCCGTACGCCTCCAATACTAGTTGATAACGATGGCAAGTAAGGTACGTGCCAAATACGAAACGGTGGAGAAAATAAAGAAAGTTAGACGCAGCGTAGATTGAGAAGGTTATCAGAAATAGAGTGTGAATCAGCCAGACCAAGGAGCAACCAAATGCGCAACTCACCGGACAAAAAGTGTGTTCGGTATGCACAATCAGTAAAACAAATGTACAGTAGGAAGTTACAAAAGCCAGTAAAATACGGTATTGTGAAATGCTGAAAAGATACATGTTGTAAGCTCGCTACAATGCAAAGGCATGTGGCCTCTAAAAAGAGAACGTGAAAATCGCGTTTGTTGTGTTATGGGATAATCGAGTATTTCACTGACTATGTAAGTAGATGGGTCCAGTTAATCCGGCGTGAGGTTAAAAATGTTTCCCTGCTTAACGGATTCGCTGGTGTTCCTGATGGAGCTATACTGCCGCCTTAACTACTCCTTTCTACTCACATGGACTTATTACTTGCCCCTCAGGAAGCGACATTTCTGAAATATGAAGATGATATGATGGCGGTTGAAGTGTTTGCTTAGCCTGGCAATGTTGTTGCAAACGTTTCGTCACCAGTCGTGGTGACGTCATCAGCGTGTAGTTGAGTGGCGTGCAGTAGCGTAGAGGAGCCTATACGGCTTGACACGACCTAGAAGGTGTGCAGCTAGTTCCTGGTGAGCGACATCTTGACTTGGAGTATGTGGACGATATTGTCCTAAACTGTGACAGCTCCCAAACATGCCAAGTAGTATCTTCTGACGTGGTACTCCAACGATGGTCGTACAGCAAGTCACATAGATTACATCTTAATCTGATCCAGGTTAATGTCCTCCATCGATGACTGTCGAGCGTACAGAGGGGCTGAAACAGGCAATAAAGGTGGTTCGGACCACGTATTCCTGCGCGCCAAATTCAGACTCCGCTTGACAACGCGCCGAAAGACCCTTCCACCAAGCGTATCAATACTACGCCACTGGAAAATACTGACTGCTACCAATCCCTTGAGGCAGCAATAGAAGCAGCAATTTCTGCCAGTGTACCACGCCACGTAATTACAGAAGATGAATTGGTAGACACTACTTGGTCCAGGCTAAAATGGTCAGTTCAACGCGCCGTTTTATCTACCCTGGGCTCTACCTCTAAGCCTGTGAAGGACTGGATCACTAAAGATACTATCCGTTTGTCCACTAAAGCGAGAGAATCACGTCTCATGAATTCCCCAGACTACCTTCGTTTGAGACGTGAGGCAACCCGCTCAGCACAGAATGATGGCAGCCACTACTGGTCTGATATCGTAAGCAACATGAAAGCTGCATCAAATTATGGCAATGGTTATCTCTTTTGTCTCGTCCGTTTAGCATCCGGCGAGCGCTATTCATCACAGCCGATATAGCGCAATTCGGAAGGCCAAATCATCCCCCATACGGAAGGAAAACTTTCCATATGGGTGGAGTATCTTAGCAATTTCCTAAACCGCCCACTGCACACCACCACACCCATTTCAGCATTAACCCAACCAGGATATGACGCGGACTGCTCACCGCCATCTCCCACAGAAATTGCAGACATCGTTCCTCACCTGAAGCTGAAGAAAGCCCCGGGAGCGGACCGCATTCCAGCGGCAATCTATAAAGCTTGTCTACCAGCTCTCCTTCATCATTTGCACGAGCTGTTCTGCTCGATATGGGAGAACGAAAGCTGTCGTTCCTCGTAGAGTGCGTCAGTACTACTGCTATTTCCCAAGAAACGTGACCGAACTGTGTGCAGTAATTATCGCGCGATTAGCCTAATCGATGTGACCGCCAAAACCTTCGCATGAATCTTGCATCCCCGCTGTGCCAATGAGAGGAATCTGCGAAATCATCATAGCCAAGGTGGCCTTCGTCAAGGCAGAGGATTCACTGACCAAATCTTCACTCTACGTCGAGTACTCGAACACCGCTACCAGTTCCAGCAGCCAACGTTTGTGTGCTTCGTTGATTTTCGAGCTGCTTTTGACTCAGTTGACCGCGAAGCACTCTGGAGAATCCTACTTGGCGATGGCGTGCCGGTTAAACTTGTTAACTTGATGTGATCATACTACCGTTGCACGAAGGCCCGGATTCGGGTCTATGGAGAAGAAGCAGGAATTCGACATCAATACTGGAGTACGGCAGGGTTGCCCACTTTCTCCAGTGCTGCACAACTTCGCAGTCAACTGGATTATACATCATGCCATTGAGGGCTATCGTGGTGTTCAAGTTAGCCCTGAGTTCTGGCTGTCAGATCTAGAATTTGCTGACGATATTGCTATCCTTGCGGAAGATGCTATATTACTACAGTCACTACTAAATCGGGTCGATCAATCAGCCTCTATGATCGGCCTCGAAATTAACATCAGCAAGACGAAATAATTCTCATCGTTAGCCACCCAGTCCGCCCCGTCGCTCTTCTTATGTGGACAACTTGTCGAATCTGTTTCTGAGTTCAAGTATCTTGAATCCACCATACTCCCCAATGGTCAGGTTACATCCGAAATCCGGGATCGTATTGACAGCGCTAGAACAGGCTACCTACAACTGAGAAACACATTGTGGCGAAGGATGGAAATTATTCTAAGAACAAAGGTCCGAGTATTCTCAACAAGCATTCGTGCCATTTTACTCTACGGTTGCGAAACATGACCGCTGCGATCCGAAGAGACCCGGAAGTTGTAAGTTTCGACCATTGGTGTCTGAGCCTTATCTTGAAAACGCAGTGACATGAGCGTATCACCAATGACGAAATCTGTAAGCGCTGTTACGGTCTTCTGAAGCTCACAATGTTCATCCAACGCCGCAGACTTCAGTGGTTCGGTCACGTCTTCCGCAGACCAGACACTGACTTCACTAGGGCCGTGGTTTCACCCTCGCCTTGCCAGGATTGGTGTCGTCGCCGTGGTGGACAATTGAAAACGTGGCTAATTGCAGTGAAATCGGATGTCGACCTTCTGGGACTCCATGTTATGCATGCTGCTCGTCACTGGAGGCATCATTGGATCAGTATCTGCGTGCAGCCTGCCGCCGACCGCTGCGCTTGGGCAGCTGCAATTCGCGACATTCATGAAGCAAGCTCATCCTGTCGCAGGAGCTAGCCGCAGTAAAGTAAAGTAAGTAAATAAGTGACGGTCTGTGGCCTGTTAACATTGCTCATGAAAATCGTGCCATATGTGTGTGGATATGAGCTGCTAGTGTGCAGCACCTCAATCATAAATCTAAAACGTAGTGCAAGCTTGAAAGAAAACGAAAGGTGAGGTTAGGACGCTAATAATGAACTGGTTTCTCGGGATTCGTGGAACGGAGAACAGTTTATGAAAATGGAGCGTGTATTCTCCTTCAGAAGAGCCCCTGTTTTGCTTCTGCCGCGGTTTTTAATGGGCAGCCAAGTTTTTCTACTGGTCTGGGTTTCACAAACTGGTCGCGCATTCCCCAACTGGATAGTCAGGCAACTAACAAATTAAAGCAAGGAAGTATGGAAAAAGGAAATAAGTGGTGGTGTGAAGTCCGAGTTAGTTTACTGTAAACCACCAGTTCTCGCGTCAATCAGAACATAGCACTACGGGATAGCGGAGAAAACATCCAAATTGATGGAGGACAGGAAAATAAAGGGAATTTTGGTTAAGACTTAGTACATTTCTTGACCAAATATGAGCTTGTGTTCCGTGAATATTCGATGAGATTTAACCAAGAAAAGCAAGTTGGCAGTGTTATTTATCTGCAGAGGTTCAAGCTGCAGTCGTAAGCATTTTGGTAAAAAGTAAGTAGGGAAGAAACTCATCGATTACGTCAAGAAAACTAAGTATTTTGGCTTACTTTTCAACAGCGCTCCTCATGCATATTACAAGAATCAAATGAGTGAAGTGTTGCGCATTTTGGAAACTAATAAAATCTGAGTGAAGGTGGAGGAGTTATTTCTCCGCTTCGATGAGACCAAGCGTAAAAGCACAGAGGAAATTGTTAATGTTGAGAGAGCTTGTCGGGAGACAACAGATTTCACTCAAGTTGATGACTGCTGTGTCCAGGCATTTGATAATGCTGTTGTTAAAAGAAGCTACCTATCGGACGTGCAGAACTGCATCTACGAAATCAACCCAAACGCTACACTTGTGCCATACACAAATCATCTCTTGTATATGGCTTACATGCATGTAGC